ACAGCCGTGCGCCGAACAGTTCTGTGACTCTTACCACATGGAGTGGCCTATGCTAAGCGAACTGGTAGATCGTTCAAAGGAGCCCAAGTCCTGCTGGAGGAAGTTCTCCGAGTGCGTCTGTAACTTGTTTACCATCAGCATGAAGACCAACCCTGTGGACGAAGGTGCCATGGACTACATGGTGCGCATGACCACAGCGCTGGCCAGCCCGTTCATAGCCACTGCCTGCCACACCGTGTGTCCGGGCAGCCCTCCGTGTGTGGGAAAACGTCGCCCTGCTGTCCAGGACATCATCCGTAAACAGCGCTTGGCTGAGCTGAAGAACCTCGGGCCCGAGCGCCTCAACAACTATAAGCGGCTCTTCCAGAACTCCAGGGTGCTGCTGGTGCCGAAGAAGCAGGAGCGGCGCACCAGTCTGCAGCCGCAGTTACTGCAAAGCGTCGCGATGGCCTCCACCATGGCCCTGCGGAGAAGCAGCCTCCTGCCACTTCACATGATGCGCAGGAGCAGCGTCCGTCCTGGGATGGTGGTTCCTAAAGTCATGCTGTGCAAAGCACCTCCTTCCACATACATCCCGGAGCGGCCGCCGCGCAGGACTTCAAAAGACTTGTCGCACCTACAGATCCCTAAATGGAAGTACAAAGCTCTGAAGGAGGAGAAGAAGAAAGCTGAACGCATGGATAGGTTGAGACTGCCTGTTGGGAGGAAAAAGTGATGTGGCTTTTGATGCCGTAGTGTTTTTAAGGATGTTTTCTACTGTGAAGGCTTGTGGTTAGTGTGAGAGTCATACACTACTCTTTTAGACTGCTATGGACTATAAAATATGGATTTTATAATATTTACTCTTACTGATACATTAAGGCGTAATGATTATAATTTATAGAAACAGCTAACAAGTTTTATAGCTTTTTTGGTTCATTATCTCGAGGCAAGTCATACTTCAAAGTTTATGCATACTGATTTCTGTGTTTTATATTGCTCTCAAAGACTGAATTTTTGAAAGGGAGTGTTATATTAAAAAGCTGCTAAACATTAAACATAACAATGGACTTTCATAACAATGAAATAGCCTACTATATTTGGTCTGGACATGCTCTCTTCTATCTATTTATCTCTTTGAAAGTTATTAATCCAGTATTGAGTCTGCATTACAAAACATCACTTGTTTTGTTGACATTCTAAGATATTCACACAGAAACTATTTCCTGTAAACGTGACTTCCGATTCATTGCTGCCATAGGTAAATAACTAAAATAAGAATTTGCGGTAACACTATTAGCGCTTTAAACCAGATATACGATAATAAAGTAAAAACTATGTAAATTACCTGTTTGTAGCAGCATAACAGACTGTTTTGTACAGCTTTAATAACTGGAACGCACAAGTCTTCCGTTGTCAAACACTTAAATTTAAAAGTGTCCGTTCCCGCTCTTACGATAAGATTTTTTCCTGTCTTAAACAAATGTTGCGCGCCTGCGCAAACGGCGCTCTGAACCGACCAGTTTACTCGTGTCAAAGTGGGTGATGTTAGTGTTATAATGAAACGATTCAAATGTATTGCTAAAAAATTAAACTCTTGAAAAAGACACAGGCTAAAAGTCTGAGATACATCGTAGTCTAATATAGATGAATATTTGAAACCTACTGCTCGTTGGGTAAATTAGACAAATACCAATCATAAAGATGTCAAATGATAGTATTGAAATCCAAAAATAAAGCAGTTTATAAGCGGTGCACCTGCACTAGCAATGCAGAGTGAAATGGGTAGTAAACTTCCAGTAGGGGTCAGTATTACATCTAGTCACTTGCGATAAGGCTCATGTTCCCAAAACACACAATCCAGACATGTGGCAATTTCCGTTCTCAAAATGCATTTTTCAATATCCGTATCTAACGACGCGCTTAAATTAGCAATAAAAATCAACATTCACATTACACCATCACCATTTCTATGCATCAAGCTGACTGTATAGGGATTAATACTCTTATGTATTAGCATTGATGAGATTGAAATTAATGGACGTGAAGGGCCTGTGTTTCAGAGCTGCAGTCACGGGTTGTCGTTTAGCGCCTGCCACACTTTTTTATACTGCAGACTGGTTCTCAGGACAAAGTGAGAAGCACATAGCCTGTCAATGTCAAAATATCTCTCTGTGGGGGAAATGGTAATGAAACAGTCGTGATGAAATCCTAACAGGAGCTAGCAGCTTGCCTGCCTGGCCTCTGATAGCTATCTAGGAATTCTATCAAAAATACAATGAATTGAAAACTCACATCAGTACAAGGTAACAAAAAACCTGTTAGTGTGTTAGTGCTGATGTCTGGAACACAATAAATGCAGTTGAGTAAATAGATACAAAATACATCAGTGCTGTTCAAGTGTTAACATCTTTTTTTTTTTTAATATGTGTGGATTATAATGTGGATAGCCTTTATATATTTGAAACCAAATCTGGCAGTAAAATGTGTACCAATCCCAAAGAAAACCCCAATAAGGAAGAAATGACTCAAGACACAGGACAAAACAAATCACAAAATTGTGATTCTCCATTAGTTTATATAGCAGTTGCAACCTGGCTTTAAAAAGGTTCACAATTCTCTCAAACACTTTGTCTAGCAACAGGAAAAAAAAGTTTTACTTACATCTTCAATGCAGGTTGTCTGATATGTCTACTTTTTCACAGATATTTTGCTTGTTCTCAGACGTTCACTATCGATGGTGCTGAAGATATGTGAGTTTGGGGATCACCCTGAATCCTTGCATCTGACAATTACCTCTAAGTGTAAAATGACATGAAGGGAAGACCAGGGCCTGCTTCATACCTTCCTGAAATCTGATAGACTTGATGCTTAAGGTTTGAAAATTACAAAAATGATAGGGTATTGTCATTGTTTGTTCTCCGTTCAATCAATAGAGGAATGTTCACCCATCTTCTCCTGCAATAAGATGACCTGAGATAAGGTATATGCAATTACCTAAGAGAAAAAAAATGGAAATCAAGAGGTGCATCTATACGCACAGCTCTCCTTCTAGAGCATAGGTTGTGTAGGATTCAAAGCTATTCATTTTAGTGGCATCCGTTTTACTAAGGACATAAAACACATTCAAAACATATTAATAAAAGGTAGCAGTATAGGCCAAAAGGTATTCGAGCATCGTTTTAGCACCTTTTCAAGTCAATATTAGAAGCTTCATCACATCAGCCCTCACTGAGCCCTGGTCTCGCCTGTTTTACACAGCAAACAACATGACAATAGGAGGTCAACATCTGGATTAGAAATTAAAGTGAACAAAACCCTATGCTTTTTTTTAACTAGCATTTTTTCCTTGCAATGTTTCTGCGTTAGGTGACATCCACATCTGCACATAAAAAGTATATATATTTAGTATTTATATAATATATATCCATACTCTATTGACAGATCTGTCTACGATGAGCTTAAGAACCACTGATTTTCTGGAAGAAAAAAGCAGATTTTGTAAATGTCTATTTTACAACACAGCGTCAACTAATTGTACATCTTTGGAGGGGAAGTAGCTGTCAAAGACCATGTCCCTCCTTTTCTCGTTACAGTGTGAATGCTGTCAAAACACATTGTTTTTAAAAAAAGCATTTACAAACGGGCATTGACAGAACCAGTGACTTGTCATTAATGTAATTTCAACAGCACCCCTTGGGTCAGGGATTACCACGTTTGGCACATAACTAAGCACAGATCACTCAATGGTTTGTGGAATGACCAGTCTTCATGTTAGTTCAGTTGGGGAAAAAAAGAGAAAAAAACTGACATAGGCCTGAAAATGTTCTTAATATTGGTGGTAAACTCTGTCCAGGCAGTGATGCTCTGTCTTCAGTTAAAAGTAGTTTCCTCGCATAGAAAAATGGGGGGGAGGGACACATTAAAGCAAACGACACTTCTGAATATGCTTTCTGTTGCATTTCTTACCCATCGAACAGGACGCTGGAGTTCAGTGAGTGTATTTTCCTCTCTTTTAAAATACAGGAAAATAAAATGATATATTGAGCCACATGGGAGGACACAGTAGTCTCTGCGTAATATACACAATGCACCTTGTATCTACATCTGTAATATACAACAAGTACTTTACACCGGACTTAAGAAGTTAAAAAGGAGGTACAAAAACAAGCAAATAATAAAAAGAAACCGAAAAAAGATAGAAAGGCTAAGAGTGTAACGGAGCACTCCATAAAAAGCATGGTTTAACATAAAGAAATGTCAAAAATGTGTGAAAACTACTTCCTTAGCTTGTGTCAAATGTCATTTTCTTGTGCTTCACGTAACTGTCCCATCTCCGTGCCACATATCTTCCACTTTCTCATTTACATGTCGATTCCCTCCACCGCTTTGCAAAAACACCAAAGTTCAAGTGGTCCTTTCTATAAAACGCATGAGCTTCCTTCCTAAATCCTCTCTCTTCAAGCACTTTCCTAACCTCGCTCATCGGCCGAGTGGCAGCCCACTGTGGTGCGAGCAGTGAACCGAACAGAAGGTTTACGTGTGTGAGATGTCTACTAGTGTTCATGCACATGCTGGGCTGGTCCCTGTGTAATGGTGTCCGTAGGCCAGCCTCCAGCCTGCCTCTGTGCCTCTACACCCAGGAGTCCGGCGAGGCAGGGTAGTGGCTCGTCTCGTAGTTGAGTTCACTGTACGGGCGGGATGCCGAATAAAAGTCCACGTAGTTCCCCGTGGACTTCAGTCCCAGGTGCATGGTGCCGTCAGCGGCGGGTGGGGGGCGTGTATGCGCTTGGTCCTCGTAGTACGGCTCCTCGAAGTTGGCTCCTGGGGGAGTCTGGAAGGGAGGGTAGGCCTCTGGAGGGTTGCCTTGAGCCGAGACCTGACAAAAAACAATGAGAGCGTAAGGGCTGCTTTGGGAAGTGACATAAATGTGTTATGTGGTAGTTCAGAAACTAAGAATCTAATTTACAATTCAAATCAAGTGCTTTCCGTGTAATAAAGTTAAAAGGCAATGAATGTATGTTATATAAAAGGTGCTTCATCTAAACTAGTGTTTCCCAACGTTTTTCGGCTTAGGTACCCCCACAGCGCCATCAAAAAAACTCATCCATGTACTTCATCCACACCAAACCAGAAATGTGTTCATTTGAACTCATAACATACTGGATTATTTTATACTATGATTAATATAATTCACTAATTTAATATAACATCTACTTGGTGTAAAAATTATACTTAATAAATAGCAAATATATTCTTCTACAAGTTTCATCCAGACAATTGTAGTTTTCTTTGTAAAAAGGAACTGAGATTGGCTTAATAAAGCAATAAGCTCCAAGAAGCCGTGGTTTACAGTGAATTTATAACAGCTAAGGAGCGTTGATAGGCACGACGCAAAGCGTAAAATGGTTATTCCATATACGTAGTAAGGTTTCACAAAATAAAACAGAGCAAATGAAGTGTAATGATATTCATAAAAACAGTATTCTTCCGACAAACAATGTAGTTCCTCAGAATCGGTTGTGGTTGCAACAAAGTGGTTGCCAAGCAACACACAAACGTAAACAAAGGTGTATGTTTGTAGAGTAATTTACAACAGCTTAGAACGTGGCTCAACCAATCAGAATCAAGGACCGGAACTATTTGTTTTTTAATTGTCATTTTTTATTTGTTTAACCCTTGATAACCTTGTATTTTAAATTAAAATATCTGAAAAAAAGCAAAAAGAAAAGCAAAACCAAAATATTTCCAAATACCCCAGTAACCTGCTTAACTGTGCGCAACCTATATGTATAACAAATGGCAAAACAAAAATTGCAAAACTGAAATCTTTCTAAATACCCCAGGAACCTGCTTAAAGGTACGTATTCTTTATAACAACTGACAAATCAAAATACAATAAGTTTTTAAAAATATAATAATAATAATGTAATAATGATATACAGATATATTTTATTTTAGTATTATTATATTAATATTATAATAATTATAGCAGTTGCCTTTAAAAAAAAACATTTAATAAACGATAAAATATTTCCCCCTTTTTTGACACATGAAAATGTCAAGATAAGATACACGTTACAACTCTGTGTGATGTCGTGAGCTCACCTGGTTATGCTTGATGTCATCACCAGGAGACATGTAAGCACCTCTGAACAGTGTAGATGTTCCACTGGAGATTTGGGCTACAGAGACAGTGAATTATAAAGATTCTCAGAGGACTGGCAGGTGGCAGGACTTTTTCTATTGCTACAGAAAATGTTGACATGAAACAGGTGTGCAGGTATATGAATTACAGTTCATGACTTTTGTTGAGGTAAAAGACTTCACACAGAAGCAAAGGGGAAATATCAGACACTATTCTGTGGAATAAACCTGTTACACTGTTACTTTCACTAATTACAACTCTCTCATGTAATTCACTGCCTTTATTTGATGGTTTGTCTGTCAGTCATATATGGAAGCTTTAACCTTACCTGCCATAGCGTCTTTTCTGGAGGTGTGCTCGCCCTTGTTTCCATGGTAACCAGAATTGGTTCCAGTTGACTCATAGTCTGTCTTCCTCTCCTTCAAGCTCATCATTTCTCGAGGGGAGGTGGGGGCACTTGCTAAAAAACACAGCAAGTCAACCAATAATGAGTGAGAGGGGAAAAACAGCCTGTTTGTTTAGGCGAAAGTATCTTGACACATTTGAAAGCACAATAAGATCTCATTCCATCAAGGGATCTTTTATTTTACATAAAAAACTCATTTACTGTAATGAAGCAATTCTCTTGTGTTAGTGCTCTCCTCCTAATTGCTAAATGGAATTGGTCAGGTAATTGATTGGTTTTGTCTGGGCTTCTTACGCATTCCTTCAGCAATAATTTATTTCACCTTTCTTGTCAGCTTTGTGTTTGGCAAAGCTTTGGTTAGTTTAAATAAAGCTGTCTATACGCTTTCTGTCAGAAAGTGAGATCCAAGTATTTCTACAAGGTGACACTTAAAAAAACCTTTATAAATGTGATTAACCAAATATTGTATTAACAGATTACTGCATAGTTCATGCACATTCAAATGAAAAACATTAAAGTTTAACAAAATTATATTATATTATGTTTTATATAAATATATAAATTTGTTGGAGAGGAAATTTGACAACTCAAAATATAACATAACTGTTGTAATTTTAGTAAAACTGCAATAATTGTTTACCCATTAAATACTGAAATGGATTTGAATTATTTCACACTTTGTTCAGATTATCATAATTAAAACAAACGTATTATTTTATTATTATTTTTAGTATTTCATGATGAATTTTCACATAGTTTCAGAGTCGAACAAGGGCAAGGGTAAAACAATAACATTTATACATAGAAGGCTACTGAAAAGTATCAAAATATAATAATAAAAAAGTTTACAGAGTTTTAATGTGACCTTCACATAACAAAAAGCAAAATGAAATCTGTTGATGAAACCCCTGGGACATACAAGTGAAGTGTACAGAGTTGATGAAACACCCAATAAACGTCCTCAGTAATTCAAGAAAAGATTATTTTACAACAAAGCACTTCATTATACCAGAAAGACATACTTAACGTGTCATCATTTAATGATTTCGATGTTAATGAATCAGCTCTTAATGAAAGATTCTGTGTTTTTACTATTTTTAAGCCTGACTTTGTTGGCTGGTATACGGTCTATGCTAGATGGCCATCTTAATTGCAAATGTATTAATTTTTATTTCCCTGAGAAATTACAAATTGCACAATTTAAAAGGTGTGAGATTCTCATTTGGGATAGTTCCCCACCACATTCTCCCAAGCAGCAGGTAGAATAAATATGCCCCCTCTTTGTTTGTCCCATGATAGGTGAGGACATTACGAGCATTTAATATTCAGGTTGCCTCTAGACTACATTCGAATAAACATAATGAGAATTCTGAATAAAGATTTATTACAGACTGGAGATGATGTAGCACTATTAATGCAGGCATAAAATGAGTTCAAAAGCAGAATTTACTAAAATAAACTTTGATATCTGAAACACAACTAGAGAACAGACAGTGCCTGCTAAACAAAGCTTGTTAATTAAGCAGAACAGACTCTTCTGTAGCGCTGTGTAATTAGGATACGCATGGCGCCCCCTGACTGACAGTACTGTATCAGTTTGAAATGGACAAATATCAGGATGAACCCTGATCTTGACAGCTGTGTTCCCTCTATGATCACATAACAGCATAAGCCACACTTTTTTTTATCTCCCATTAATGTACTATTTTGGGATTAGTCATTATGATCGACAAGTTGACAAATTCTCCAACAACCAGCTAGTTGATAAATGAGGTCAACTTGTTTTAGATGCTTTAATTAATGCACTCTCTGACAAATTTCTGACTACTTGATTTTGAAAACAAGTAGTTTTGATCATTTCAAGTGCTTTTTTATTCCTCTAATCCACTCCTGACAAGGAGATAAAGATGTTGATGATCGAGTGCAAATTATATCAGTGATATCGCTTGTTGTCAAAATGGAGGAAAGTGGAGCGACTCTCACCTGATCGATTATTGGGCGAGGTCCGCACAGGAGAGATAGATGGAGTGCGAGAGGAGGAATACGGTCGTTGTCTGTCTCTCTCAATTGTAGATGAAGAGCCAACGAAGTGATACTGAGAATAGCCGTCCTGCCATAAAAATAAGAGGAGCATGATAATCTGTTCATCCTGAAACTTCACTCATTAAAACCTTTTGGTTACAAGTATATGACAGGCACAGAAAGAAAACAAAACAGATTTTCATGCATTTGAAACTGAATTCCTTTAAAAAACTTGGATCAGATAAACCAAAGGGTCAGAATGGCCAGTTAGCACCTGCTGGTAGATGCTGTAGCTGCACCACTTGGCAGCAAAAAGCCTCTAACTGCATTGATGCCCATTTAAAAGTATATAGGTGCAAATGTAATAGATGTGAGAACAGCGAGGTCTTCTGAATTTATTACCTTTTTATAGAGGCTTCGCAAATCTCTGTACTGCCACATGCTGTTGAGGACTTGAGATGCCGCCTTCACCACCTTCGGTGTGTGTCTGTAGGGAAACATAGAAGATGAAATGAATACAATGCATAGCCCTATCTGCAATAATATAAGCAATATGAGTGAATTTTCAGTTTCTAATCCATTTCTGGGCTGCTAATATAATGGATTGCTTCATATTTTTTGCAAAGAGTGCAAACTAAATAAAACCCTGTGGTATAATACAGAAACTTTATAGAAAGTACTTTCTCAGCTATATAAACAAAGTGCTGGTAGATGTGGACAATAAATAGCTCAGTAAAAATGAATTTTAGTTCAGCTCAATTTGTTCATAGATTTCTCTAATGGTGATAAATTCTAACATAGAAAACAAGCTCTAACGGGAACCATAAATACTATAACATCTACAGTAAATGCTGTGGCAATGAGTTTTATACTACTCTACCATTCAAAAGTTCCAAAATGTTTCTGTCTTTTAAGCTTCACCATGGCTGCATTTATTTGATCAAAAATACAGTAAACTGTAATATTGTGAAGTATTACTATAATTTTAAATAACTGTTTTCTATTTTAATATATTTTGTCATTTATTCCTGTGGTGGCAAAGCTGAATCTTCAGTAGCTCCATTACTCCAGTCTTCAGTGTCAGAAATCATTCTAATATTTCTGTGGAAACCATATTACATGTTTTCAGGATTCTTTGATGAACAGACAGTTCAAAAGGAGGTCTTCTGAATTTATTACCTTTTTATAGAGGCTTCGCAAATCTCTGTACTGCCACATGCTGTTGAGGACTTGAGATGCCGCCTTCACCACCTTCGGTGTGTGTCTGTAGGGAAACATAGAAGATGAAATGAATACAATGCATAGCCCTATCTGCAATAATATAAGCAATATGAGTGAATTTTCAGTTTCTAATCCATTTCTGGGCTGCTAATATAATGGATTGCTTCATATTTTTTGCAAAGAGTGCAAACTAAATAAAACCCTGTGGTATAATACAGAAACTTTATAGAAAGTACTTTCTCAGCTATATAAACAAAGTGCTGGTAGATGTGGACAATAAATAGCTCAGTAAAAATGAATTTTAGTTCAGCTCAATTTGTTCATAGATTTCTCTAATGGTGATAAATTCTAACATAGAAAACAAGCTCTAACGGGAACCATAAATACTATAACATCTACAGTAAATGCTGTGGCAATGAGTTTTATACTACTCTACCATTCAAAAGTTCCAAAATGTTTCTGTCTTTTAAGCTTCACCATGGCTGCATTTATTTGATCAAAAATACAGTAAACTGTAATATTGTGAAGTATTACTATAATTTAAAATAACTGTTTTCTATTTTAATATATTTTGTCATTTATTCCTGTGGTGGCAAAGCTGAA